GGGATGAACAAGAATTCAAATCGGTTAAAAAAATGAGAAAACGATTATTAATGTTTGTTCATTTTATCTAACTCTGTATGGCAAAGCATACAAAGCTTACCTGCCTAAGTGGAGGGATGATTTCACGAAGGATTAACAGTTATTTGACTCATGGCGAAGCACACGAGGATAATCTGTTTAAGGGAAGGGATGCTTTTCTGGATGACTTTTAAGGGAAACTGCTCATATTCAAAATACGCTTGAGGGAAAACTATGAAAATTCCCTTGCAACCATCTTGTTCGCCAAAATTTCATTTAATGAGAAAAAGGAAAGAAAATAAATTACGAATAAAAAAAATAAAAAAATAAATTACGAATTAATTATTATTGAATAATACGAAAGGCAGGGGGGATGAACAAGAATTCAAATCGGTTAAAAAAATGAGAAAACGATTATTAATGTTTTGTTTCATTTTATCTAACTCTGTATGGCAAAGCATACAAAGCTTACTGCCTAAGTGGAGGGATGATTTCACGAAGGATTAACAGTTATTTGACTCATGGCGAAGCACACGAGGATATCTGTTTAAGGGGAAGGGATGCTTTTCTGGATGACTTTTAAGGGAAACTGCTCATATTCAAAATACGCTTGAGGGAAAACTATGAAAATTCCCTTGCAACCATCTTGTTCGCCAAAATTTGAATCCGGGGCGAACTACCAGTGTTCAGCTAGTCTAACAGAACTGGGTTTACTCATTTTTTACATGAGCAAAACGAAAAAAAAAAAAAAAAAAAAAAAAAAAAAAAACGGCCATACAGTCATTCATTTTTACTCAAACCCGAATCGACTTATCAGTGTGCAATAATTTTTATCACTCGGCCATTAGTGGGCGCTTCCATTAAACGTGAAAAGTTTCGAGGAAATCTGAACGTCAAGTGAAGCGTTTTTGTGGGGGGGGGGGGGGGGGAGATAATTCTCGTAAAAAATAAAACTTTAAAATATGCTTAAATTTATACTATCAGCTGGCAGATGATGAAAATAAAGTTAGAAATCTATGTTTTAATACTTTTAGCGTCAATAACAGCAGAAACAGCTTGGGGAGAAAAGGAACCATTAAGGAGATGCTTAGATTCCATTTCGACTCCAGAATTTTTTTAATGCCATCTTCAGCCATTCTGGGGTACAATGATATAAGTACAATACTGTTCTTGTGCCGTGGCACATCTAAAATACTTTCCTGCACAAAACAATTGCGCAGTTTTCTGACTCGTTTCCAAGGGATTCCCTCTACTGCAAGAATGAATGCATTTCTGTATGAGAAAAATCCCAGGATATCCTGTAATATCAACAAAGTAGCAACAGTCAGTTTAAGCTATGCAAATTACCTACATCACCATAAACAATAAATACCCTTGTTGCTGAAAAAGCTCAAGCCAGATTTGCCACAGGACATTACTTGCCTTGCCAAAATAAGGGTTTCAGCAACGTGATTCCCGTCATTGGCCTCGGATTGCCCCCAAGTTCCATTTAAACCGTACCCCGTCTACAATAAATCTCAGACTCTAATTTGTAGCGTGAATAACACATTCGCTTTTTTTCTAACTTATATTTGATATGGCTTAATGCCATCTCTTCTTCCCTTTCACTCCCAGCCCCTAAAAGTGCCATTTTGTCAGCTGCCTTACACCCACCGATTCACTCTTTCCCGTTTCATCCGCTGTTCGAAGAGTTACTTTACAATAAAGCGAACATCTGTTTTCATCAATTAAAATGGTTAAGACTAGATGACTCTTACTATTTTGAAATGACTTTTTTAGTTTTGGATTTATAATACTTACTTAATACTACCTTTACACAAATTATTCTGAGCAGAATAATGAATTTCAGATTTGTTCAAAATGTGTGTATCTGAATCTAGTTATGTTTTGGTATGTATAGTATACAGTGTCCTCTTTTTTTTTTTTTTTTTTTTTTCCATTTCATGTACTACTTCTAAAGCAGTAGAACGACGATTTCACTGCTTTGAAAGAAAACAAAAATGTAACAAATGTATAAGTACGTTTACTGTACATGCTTTATTGAAAGTACAGTGAGCCCTCTTGAAATGCGATCATCCACGGTTTCTCCGAAAATACAGCGTTTGTTGTTATTAAATTTTTTTTTTAATGTATATGATCTAATTTCAAATATTACAGCTGCATGACCATGCTGTAAATTCAAGTTTCGATAAACTCATGATGACATTTTACAGCGAGATGAATTAAATATATCAAAAGATAAAATTCGGAATAACCACATATGATTAAAAATATAATTCCAAGCCTGTACCATCGTTTTAAATTACTTGACAACAATTGGTGTATTAATCAGATTGTTAAGTGTAACAAGCCAACTGGCATTTATCACACAGTGTTACCTGTCTCAACAAATGACCCTCTAAACAACGACATTTTGAAAAGGGGATGAATTGGGGAGAATAAGAGAACTGATTCGGGGATGGGGAGCAGCAGTGGGCGAAATGGGAAAGATTTTGTCAGTAGGGATTTACTGATGAGGCAGATGAGGGATAGCAGAGTATAAAATGGCATGATTTTGACCACAGGATGAAAAGGGAAATCCCCTTCGATACGGTACCCGCCTTCCTCTCCCATAATATAATAAGCCAATAAGTAAATATGAAATATTCATTCCCCAAATCAAAGCCTGCTTTCCTATAACGTAGCCGAACAAAGCATAGTATAAAATATTACGTTTAAGAGAGGTAGAGAATTTTTTTACTGTTTCTACATTAAATAATCAACCATTTAACGTAAATAACAACTTCAAAGCATTGCAATTCTGTGCAGTTCCCAAATAATTAGTACGTAGAAAAATCAGGGGAAAAAAGAATAAAATATGTATTGTTACAAAATATTAGTTACAGAAAAATGCTTAAAGACATGATGCGATTTTTAATAGTAATTTCTAAATGATTCTTTCACCAAAGTCTACACTTTAATTATCTCTCTCTCGAGTCAGTCTGTTGATCTACTACATTTTTAGCAGCAGAAAGCATGAAAAATTAGCTATATCCTCGCCAGGACTCTAATCACGTATCTTTCGATTGCTAGCCAGACGTGTTACCACTTACACACGGCGAGAAGGCAATAATTTTGATCAGAGAGATTTAAAAATCCCATTTTAATTGTACGCCTCAATACAACTACAGTGGTACTTCGGTATACGTCATTAATCCGTTCCAGATTATCGGACATGTACCAAACAAACTTTTCCAATCAGAAATAAAGGAAAAATAATCGATCCGTTCTTACAAAAAATCTGATGATTATTACTATGAGACAGTTTAATACTAAAGCACAAATGCAGTGGCTGAAATACTATATACTGTACATAAATGAAGCACGGCACATGACACTTTACATAAAAGTTCTTTTATCCAGACCCAGAGCAATTTTTCAACGTTTTAACATCTCTGACCTTCGGCAATCTATTCCGCCCCCTTCGCAAAGTTAGCCGAATTAACAGCGGCTTTATTCTTTTCAGTTGCACACAACATCTTACTCGGCATATAGCATGCAACAGCTGTGTCTCGGATACGCATGCTATCTTTATACCTTCCAAGATTCTTTTTTTTTTCCGCCTTCATAATGATCCTAATAATTTTCTTCGTTGCTTGACTCTTGTAATTAACTTTCCTAAAATTTACTGTTGATAAATTTTAAAAAAAATTCGTACTTACGTATTAACGCAACCCCCTTAGCAGAAGTTGTCACATTTTCGGAATATGCCAAACTCTGGTAACCATGCGTATAACCAGTTTTCCGTCAACTTTGCTCATAAAAATCCTTCAGTCAAGCAACGCCGCCATTTTTGGTACGAGTTTTTTTTTTTAATTTTTAATTAATTAATTTTGTTATTCAAAGTTCCAACTGTTTTTATAAACAAATTGTGATATTTTTTGCTTTAAACTTAGTTTTGAAATATAAGGTTGTGATATTTGCCAGAAATGGAAGAAACTGCGGTTAAAATTTCTGCAGGAATACAGAATTTTGCTAAAACTTTTCTGAAAGGAACAACGAGGAAATGCGTTACTCGATTGCTGAGGATTGCACGAAGACGAGTTTCCGCAATTCTCTGATGTTTTTAAAGCGAGAACAGATCCCTGTGTACTTCGAGAGAAGAACAGCGCAAAAAATTATAGAAACATTTGAAGACGAACTTAAGGGTTTTATTTTTTTTTTAATGTATTATGTATTCCTTATTAAATCTGTATTTTAAATTGCTAAAGTATGTTTTTTTTTTCATATGCTAATCATGTTTACCGACTTATGATAAATATCGATTGTTTGGGAATATTTCTAAAAGAAAAAAAAAAGGGGCGCGAAATCACCAATTTGCACCCGATAAGTGACTTTTACCCTTTCATCTGTAAAAAATCGTCAGATTGCACCAAGGTGGTTGCATTAACATGTAAGCAACAAAAATTTTACAAGAAAAACACAAAATCTCTTGCAAATTCACGGTTGCAGCGCGGGTCGTTAAATGTAAGCAACACGCACACTAACGCTGACGGGCAATTGTGGCATTGTCTCGAAAGAAGCAAACAAGGCGCAATCGTTAATCATCGAACTCGAGTCGTATTCCAAACAAATATCATATAGCAAACAAAATTTTTCTCCTCCAAACAGTACGTATACCGAATTGGACGTATTTTAAAATGGATGTATACCGAGGTAACACTGTGTTAGGTTTTACAGAGCAAGAGAAAAAAGTAAAATCAACTATTGACTCGAATCACGGATCTTTCGACTGATCGCTGGACGTGTTACTGTTTATACCACAAGAGCACGCACTGGGGAAGGGAAGGAAGTAGTAATTCCTTACATGTTTTTTGGTCAGAAATTTGTAAAAATGTTTAAAGTTTACTTAGAAATCGAAGCACTCGGGAAGCGAGTGATAACAACGCTGAAACAATCGTTCATAATCTAAGACAGGATAGTTAAAAGGGGCTAAAACTTACCTGACGTGTATAATGTAGTGCAGAATTGGACTGTTGTGGTTGTTAACACTGGGTGCCCAAGACAGATTAACTGAGCGGGACGTGAAACCCATGATCAGCGGCATTCCAGCTGGATCCGGAATATCTGCAGATAAAAATAATACCTAAGTTTCACTCAATCATAATGAAAATTAACAGACAACAGAATCAGTGTTTACAATCCCAGATTAAAGACATTTTTACTAATTTTAACTTTAAAAAAAAAAAAAAAAAAAAAAAACAGAAAAAACAGAATGTGGTAGGCTTCAAATGAAATCATCTAAATAAAGGCCTGAAAATAAATATCAAATAATAACAATTACTTACACGTTATGTTGTTATGTTACCTTTTATACTACGACAGTTAACCTTATGAAACAATTAAAAGTTAATATAAGCAACATTAATTTCTACCTGGAGTAGCGTACGCGGGAAAATCTAGCAGAATTTGTGAAAATTTTCCAGGTCATCAGAGTTATTACTGAATTTAAAAGCAATATCTATTTTTTGGTTCCTTAACTGACGTACCAACCAATATTACTGACATACGAAAAATCAAAGCATATGAGGGTTATCTGCTTAAGGAAAAGACGGATTCGTGGATTGCTTTCTAAAGGGAAACTGGCTTGTATTTAGTATTTTACGCATGGTGAAAACAAATGAAACGCTCATGCAGCCAGCCTTTCGAGGGATAGTCAAAAAGGAGTATTGGAAATTTTATGAAGTGAGACAAGTGAAAATTTAAAATTCGCAAATTGACAGTTAATTACAGAGTTGATTTTGAGTTAGTCATTAGTTGAGAGTACAAACATTTTGGTTACTTTTGACGCGAATACTTATATTATCATAAATACACATTATGTTTAGAAATAGACAAAAGAGCAACATTAGTCTTATCAGGACTACTATTCCTCCTTATCTGCTTTGCAAACATGAAGTGTCCTGATGAGACAGTGAGTCTGACTAGAAACTATGTCTTATGGAGTTAAAAGAGACGACAAGATGAGAAGGGTTTAATTCCCCTTTATTCTCCGCGATATTACAGGCGCTCCCGCGCTTCGGGATACAAAGACCAACCACTTGTGGTGTGAATGTAAAAATATAACCACTACTAACACAACTACTAACTAACTAAATTTAAATAAGAGCTAACTTTGAATACTTGATACAGATGACTAACACTAAGGTTGGCCTTTTAGTTTATTACATATTGTAGAGACATTAGGTATACTTTTGGAAGTAGGAAAGATGAAAAATAGCAACCGCCTTCGCCGGAATCGACACGGACTCTGAAATACGGCCAGCGTGAAAAACCACTACACCACACGAAGCACGCTAGGAAAGTGGGAGAAATCCACCTACTCCCCTTTTTAAAGGGCGATGGGTTTTCAGGGGACCCAATCGCCAAATCCTGCGTGTGGAGAAACCTCATCCAACACCCTTTTAGTTCGGGCGCCACCGTAGAGTCATTAGGAGTTTTTTGAAAGCAGGAGAGATGAAAAATAAGCAAACGCCTTCGCCGGGAATCGAACCACGGACCTCTGGAATACCGGTCCAGCGTGCAGACCCCCACTACACCACGAAGGCACGCTAGAAAGGGGGAGAAATACCTATCTAGAAATCTAGAAAGGGGGAGAAATCCGAGCGCAAACTGCGGAAAACTACAATACTGTTGCGTGCGTACGGGTTCGTTATGAAATGAATGCACAAGTCCGATGAAAAATGAACAAAAATTTATTATTATCACAAATAAATAACAACAAAATGCTTAAATTTTCTCAAATATATCATGCAGTATTACAATATCTCACAGTAGCTATCTTTTAACTACTCAAATGTCCAATAGAACGTAATTCAAAACAGCTAAAGAAAGCTAATCCGCGAATTCGCTACAATCAACAAGAGCAGTTTTTCTAAAACAACAACTTGAAACAAAAAGCTAACTAAAAACAACGAACTGAGAGGTTTTCCTGCCCTTTTAATAAGATTTTTAAATGCGCGCGAGAATTTTCTCGTACTTTCTCGAAATCAAAAAGATATATTTATTTATTTAAATGCACGCTCTGTTTTTATTTTCCCATTTTCCGGCTTAGCTTTCTTCTTTTAATATTCGTCACGTGCTGCACTGCACGGGAAATAAAACCATTTAATTTATAATTGAACTAACATTAGCTATTTAAATACCAAATCCGTAACAATACGTTTTAAATATTAAGAGGACTAAACCTCTGGCCTTAAAGGCAGACAGGAAGTGATTGAAAGCTCGCGTGGAATACAGTGGCAAGGAGGCTCACTCTCTCTCCAGCTAACTTTGTTCTGTTCTTGGCGAAAAGCCACAACTTAAATACTTAGCGTTAGCAAGTACAATTTGCATAAACATATTCAAGCGTTTATTCTGGTGGAAAGTGGAAAATAAGAGAGGACAGAAAAGTTTTAAAATAAACGTTAGTAAAACTTAAGATCCTTACAGTATGGCGTAGATTTTGAATAAAACTCTATCGATTTCGAGAGCAATCATGCACAGGAGCAAAAAACTGTTTAAAGCAAAAAATTTCTTGCTTCTGAAGAGGAGGGGGCATGCGTCTGATCGCGCACGAAATCGAAAGAGTTTTATTCGAAATCTACTCCAAACCAAGTTTGCTCTTTTGCCTAATTTTACACTGCCGTATTCTTCTTCAAGTTTGACATTATACTTAATTTCCTTAATTGGAACCTAGTTTAAAATTTAAATTAAAGAGCGGATTAAGCTTGAAAGAACTTTAAATTAGAGTAAGCTAAATACGGGAAGAAGTAAAGTATATACAGATGCATTTAAAGACAGCCTTTGATAAAACATTTATGAACGCACAGTATAAAACTGCATTCTGTGTTTTTTATATCTAAGCATGCGGGTAACTTAGTATCAAACGTTTCAAACGATTTCATTTCGCATATTAGATTATTGGGCGCTATCTCGTATAGATTTACAACCCCCCTCCCAGTGAACGATTTTCGATACGTATGTATGCATGCATGTTTTTAAGTATTAATACGTAGATTAAATACTTTACGAAACTGTAGATCCTTTCAGGGAATTATTAATCTGATGTGTATTTTATTTAATAATAATTAAGATGTATGCAATCCAGAAAAATGTAAATTACTTCCTTATAATTTAAAGTGGTTCCTTTCATTCTATTACATAAGCAAGTTCAACAGCTTAGTTTTCCCCATACGGTCATTCGAGCAGCACATTTGTTTTTGCGCAGAGTTTTTATTCGTATATAACACGGAAATTTCATTTTCAAGCCTTTGGTTTCTGATTACTCTGTTTCATTTATTCTAGCTTGCGTTTTGATTCGCAGATGGCCTTAATCAATAGTAAAACGAGCTTTTTCGTTTTCACTCTTTTATGTGGTGCGAAACACATGATTTATTTTGGGTAATAATTTACTTTTCTTAGTGTAGTTTAATAACAAATATTTTATTAACTTTTTATTAAGTGAAAATATTAGACATTTAAGTTGTGTTTAATATAGTTTATATATCTTGTGCATTAAAAATGGATGAATACGGATTTCGTTTAGTTTATTTAATTACGGCAAAGCACTCAAGGGTTAGTTCCCTAATGGAAGGGATGTCTTCGTGGAGGACTTTCTAAGAGAAACTGGATCATATACACGTGGGGAAACCCACGAAAACGCCCATGCAGCCAACCCGTTTACAGGGATTCGAAACCCGGACCGAACTACCATTCCATTCCATTCCATTGACGGAAGACGCGAGCACTGTACCTTTACCATAGGGTGAATCAGTTCAGCACCGCGCCCCCAAAGATCTAGAGCAGCCAAAGAGGCCACACGAGAGCCGCGCACAGAGAGCCCAAGCCCAACGCCGGATCCACCCAGGGTAGTTCAACGAACCAAAGGCTCATAGGGAACCCCCACCCCGTCGCCCAGGCGTCAGATTTAAAAGAAATATTTACATGGCCGGACCGAACTACCACTGTTTAGCGATTTTACCCCTCGGCCGCTGGTGGGCCTAGTGACAACGGGAATTCTGACCTCAACGCCAGCGAAAATTTACCAAGCGAAATAGGAATCTCTTCGGATTTTTACATATTTTCTGATGATGAAGTTAGATCAAATAATGATTAGAAGAGGCTGAGCGATTTTATGATTCTGATGTAAGAAATCCTCAACCCGCCTCTTGACTGTATCCATTTCTTAGCACTCCATCCTTTAGCACTACCCATCGATGAGACTATGGTAATACCATTATTTTTGGAGCAATTTTTCATAACGGCGTAATAAACACGATATTGTAGGAAATGATTCGTTACGCTGAATAATTATATCAGCGAAATGATTAGGTGCAGTAGAAAATATTAGATACAAACGACATTAAATGAAATCCGTGTGACTTTCGCGCTGATCATGTTGCAAGGCATGGTAAAGAAGAAGAAGCCTGTTGTGCCTTATTTTAAAACATGCCACAATGAGTTGAAATATTGACTCCTCGCATTAAGAAATTAAGAACTGAGCAATGGAAAGGAAATGCCCGAGCAAAATTAGTTTATAATTAACACTAGTAGATGTTAAAAAAAATCTAATATTAAAAGGGTAATGGTAATTTCTATATGTCTCCTTATTTATTTTATTTTTGGCCATGAAATTTTTCACATCTATTTTATCTAAAATCTCGCTTTTCTTGCAGTCACCGAAATAAAATAGATAAAAAAAAGACATTTTTTATTTTATTTATTTATTTTAATTATTTATTGAAGAGCTGAGAAGTGGCTAAACTATGGATTTTTAAACTTGCCAATATAAAATTCTCTAACTAAAACTGACTAATTCTCGCTGAACTCTGCGATTTATTGCAACGGAATGGTAAATTTTTAGCCACTAGTGGAAATAGCAATAAGAATGTATTAAAGAAGTAGATTAAAAAAAAAAAAACTCAGAAACAGATGCTATACCTTTTCATTTCAAGAATGAATGGGGAAGGAAACACATTACAATGTTCCTCCATCTACCTACACATTTAACACGGAAACCAATAGTTATAAAATACCGCTTGACAGACAAAGAAATGAAACAATCTAAAATGTCCAGTAAACAACTCTTACCTACTCATTTTTGAG